AAAAGTTGTCCTTGCAATGCAACTGTCGACCCCCCCAAAAAAGCATCTTTACATCTTCTTTTTAGTGCAACTCTTAAAATGTAAAACATTTCCAGTGATTCCTTGAGAGGTATCATTTCTTTGTTTTGTGTTATTATTTTTTTTTCTTTTTCTTTTCATACTTACGTATTTCACACCTCACAGAATAACGTGTCTTCAAAATATCCCAAGCAAGACGTCTTGTTTTCACTGTTCTGTCAAATCGCTCTCTCTCTTTTTTTTTCTTTCAACTTTTTGCATCTCTGCATTGGCATGGCCTTCCACAATGTCTGTTTACTAGAACATAAACACAGGAGGTGATCCATTCCCCCTGCGTTATTCCCATTCCCTTCAGCCTCCGTGTGTGATACGATTTAGATTCAATCGCCCCAGCACAGCCACGTGATTGGCAGTCCACCTTCAACCTCTGTAAAGAAGGGCCAGGAGAAGGAGGAACAGGAGGAAACTGGAGGATGAAGAGAAGGGAGATAGAAAGAGAGAGTACGCTGTACAATGGGAGCAAACCCAGATCAAGATCAATCAGGGCAATAGAGACATAGATGAGAAAAAAACCCACAGTAAAACCCTCATATAACACAGTAGGGTTCCCTTGGTAACCTGGATTTTCTGCAGTAGAGGAGTGTGGTGCTGAAGCAACGCCGAAGCTCTCTGTTAGAGAAGATGCAGATGAAAGGATTGACCCCAGCCTGGGCAAAGCTCATCCACACGGCTGCTGTCAGGTAGCCTCCAGGGACAACGGGGCCCCTTGCAAACACCCGCCAGTAGCAGGCAACCAGGTAGGGCCCCCACAGTGCCAGGAAGAAAAACGTCATGATGTAGAACATCCTACTAATCCTCTTCTCGGTTTTGAATTCATCCAATACCAGTAGACGCCTGCGGCCCGCTGCATTGCTGTTCTGCCGGATGCCCAGCAAAGTAGGCGGGGTGGGGCCTCTTCCAAATCCAGCCAGCCAATTAGCCGCCGCTTGCCCGCTGGCACCTGGGCCGTGGAAGGTCCAGTTCTGGCTGACGGCAGGCACGAACTGGACGGGCTTCATCTTTCGACGGTCGTGGACGAAAAAGATGAGCTTGAGGTAAACCAGTTGTGTGGCCAGGAGGATGAGCGCCAGCAGAAGCATGAAGCCCAGCGAATCATTTGCCCTGAAGGAACGGTGCTGGAATGTGCACTGGTCCTCCTCCCGGATAAAAGAGTACGTCCCTACATCTAGCACCGGAGGGAACGCCATAGCCACAGACAACGTCCACACCATGCAGATGACAGCCAAACACGTCCAGAAAGTCAGCCTCTTGGTGTAGAAACGGTGGTGCGCGATGGCCAGGTAACGGGTGACACTGACACAGAACAGCATGAAAGCCGTGTGGAAACAGGAGAGCACACCCAGGAAGGCGATCACTTTGCAGGTCAACGTGCCGTAGGTCCAGGCAGACCCATTCTTGACTGAGGTGAAGACAAAAGGGAAGCAGATGGCGGAGCGCAGGATGTCAGAGGCGCACAGGTCCAACAGGAAATAGTAGGGCGCTCGGTGCAGGCTCTTGTCTTTGACCAGCAGGATGGAGATCAGGAGGTTTCCGACCACACCGACTCCAATGATAAAACCCAGAGAGGTCAGTTTGAGGAACGTGGTGAGAGGAGAGACATTCTGCAAGATGTTGTGGTCCCCTGCATGGCTATAGTTCGCCATAGATGGAGGAGGGATCATAAAGATAGCGGAATAGCTTCAGCCAAGTATCATGATCTAGAGGTGGCAGGGGGAGGCGTTAGATCCATTTGGCGGTGTGCTTTGAAGAGGTTTCCAGGCGTATAGGCAACCTCTCCTCTAAGGCATCCTTTGTTCCTTTGTCTCATCACACCTAAAAAAAAAAAATCCCTGAAAAATACGTTCATCCCATCAACATTCAGTCCCATACAAGAGTTAAATTACACCTGTACCATCTATACTCCCATGAACATAATTTTCCTTTGCCCTGACGATTATTTAATGATTTACTTTTTAGCATTTTGAGTGGCTCAGTGCAGAACTCAGCCTGAATACTTTGTCTACTGAGAATCACACAGACAGTAAGCGAGCTCGACTAAAGCATCAATGCGTTAGACTAACAGAATATTCTTTCACGTCGCTTCCTGAACAAAAGCAGCACAAAGCCATGAAAGCACAGTTGAGGCTTCATTAACAAACGACTGAGTTTTCTTCTTTTTTTCTGTCGTCTGTCGGAAATAAACGAGTGGCAAACATACACACACACACACGCAAACAGATCTAGGCTTGGATTTTTTTCTTTTTCTTTTTTTACATTTTCAGCGCACTGTGAAACATTAAGACAAATGCAGTCCAAAAATAAGCTCTTCTTGATCACACCCTACAGAACAGAGCTCCCTGAATCGGTGGATGCCTCGAATAAACTCACCCCAACCTTTATGCGTTGTGGTAAATCGACTGGTAAAGGGTGCATACAGTACGCGATAAAGCGCCCCCCCTTTTTTTCCCCCCCTTTCTTTCTTGTCTGACTAAAGGTTAACTGGATTAACGGGTCTAACGTTAATAAGCGGTGTTCTCATTAGGGCGTCTATGGAGCCAGCCTCCATTTTTCCCCCAGATCATCCTTTATGTTACTAATTACAAAGAGTTAAGGGAACATAACGCGTAACACCCGCTCTGTGAGCCACATCGGCGTAATTCTTTTTGCAATGTGCGGATGCGATAATCAGTAGGGCTGGGTTGAAAAAAAGGATGAGTAAAAATGGCACTAACAAAGCCCGTTGGTAAAAAAAAAAATTATTATGGCGAGCTCAATTCCATATATATATATAATTTTTTTTGTTGGTGGGAAAATTGCATAACATATAGCGATGCTCCATTTCGTTAATAAGTGCGCTTGTGTCTACTTACGCATTTAAATGTGTCCTCCGTGAGTCGAGTGGTCTCTCTCTTTTTAAATGCGCGTTTGAATCCGATAGAATTTAGTTAAACACGGAGCAGAATTAAATAATCGCCTTTGCGTCCCAGTCGGCCGGATGAAGCACAACGGTGCAGCGGATCCGCATGTCCATTATACTAGAATAATTTCCAAGTCTCCGCTATGGTTTGGCTGGAATCGCATCCACCACACAAGACAAGGCCAAAAGAAAAAAAAAAGAGAAAAAAAGATGAGAGAACGAGAGAGACAGTCGACCATAAGATCAACCAAAACCCTACCTGTTGACAATCCAATTTCGTGTCCCTCCTGTTCGCTATTTACATTGCACAAATCGTGCTTTTCGCCGTTTTAAAAAGCCTGCTTTGTTGCCTGCCCCCTTTTTTCTGCCTCCACCGTGAATATCCTACAGTAAACGGAACCCACTGCGCATGCGCCCTGCATCCCCTATTTGTGATCCAAGACGCGTCTTGTCTCTTGTTGCAGCAGCGGCGGCGGCGGTTAACAGCGTCTCTCTCTCACGGTAACATCTGCTCAGCGGTGCCTGCTGCTGCT